AAATACAAAAAAATTAACTGGGCGTGGTGGCACATGCCTATAGTCCCAGCTACTTGGGAGGCTGAGGCAGGTGAATTGCTTGGACCCCAGAGGCGGAGGTTGCAGTGACCTGAGATTGCACCATGGTATTCCAGGCTGGGGGCTAATAATAACACCTGATAATAGATTCTTTACACATAGTACATGGCATGTAAATATTACTATTCCATTTCAAAAACTCTAATATCAGCTTCCTCTTTCCTTGGCTTGTGAAAGGTGAATATATAAAAGAAAGCTGATAGAGGGAATGGTTCATTTTTCAGAGCTTCAGACAAAAGGGAAGGGACTTTTGCAAGAAGGAAGACATCGGAGTCGATCATTGTGGTTTGCATTTACAATGGGGAAACAGAGGCTCAGAGAGGGTGAGTTAGTTACCTGAAATCACACAGCCAACAAGCAGCAGAGGAGGATTTGAACTCGGACCTATCTGACATCACATCCTTGATTCTGACACTATATAGCCAGTGCTGGTGGTCATGGAAAGATCCGGCTCCTGGCCCAATATTGAAAATGGAAATATGAGTCACCGGCCATCCCTAGGGAAAGCTGGGGAGTGAGAAGAGCTCAACTATGGGGCAGAATGTTCTGCCAGATGCTGGGGAGTGGCTGCCAGCACCACTCAGTCTCCTTCATGCCGAAGAAAGGGAGGAGGAGACAGCATGGAGGAACAGGGTTTGCAAGCCAGCGGAGGGCAGCCTGGAGTGGGGCCATGACTTGGTGGATGACGTCAGGCTCACACATCTGGCCTCTGGAATGCTGAGGCCTGGAGGATGGGCCCAAGTTTCTGCTTCTCCTTGCAGCAGGTTCCTCCTCTGAAATAACCCAGGCTGCTTTGTCGAGAAAAATCTCCAGCTTTCTAAGGCTCTCCTAGACCAACCCAGATGGTGATGTGTGAAATGGGCCTTCAGTGCCTGCAGATGAAGAGTAGGTCTCTGTAGAGAAAGCATCAAAAGAAGAAAGGTTCAGGATCAGCCAGCTCTGGGATGGATTCCTGGCTGTATGAGCCAGGCCAGTACCTTGGTTTTTCTTTTTCTTTTTTTTTTGGAGGCAGAGTTTTGCTCTTTTCACCTAGGCTGGAGTGCAATGGCGCAGTCTCAGCTCACTGCAACCCCTGCCTCTTGGGTTCAAGCAATTCTCCCAAGTAGCTGGGATTACAGGCGCCTGTCACCACGTCTGACTAATTTTGTATTTTTGGTAGAGATGGGGTTTCACCATGTTGGCCAGGCTGGTCTCAAACTCCTGACCTTAGGTGATCTACCCACTTCAGCTTCCCAAAGTGCTGGGATTCCAGGTGTGAGCTACCACGCCCACCCACCTTGGTTTTCTTGTCTGTTAGCTGAGGCTCCTCTTCCTCTGATGCAAGGTCTAGGGAAGAAATGGCATGTAGAACACCTGGCACCAGCTGGTCATGCTGTCAGTGCTTGCTGACTACCTGCCCGAACCCATGGGCAAATGAGTGGACGAGTTGTATGGTGTCCCAAAGCACTAGCGTGCTTAGGTAGGGGCTGCCACCTTGCTGACTGGTCTGCTTTGAGGCATTGTCCCTGACCTGACTCTTCTGGTCCCAGTTTCCACTTTGCTCCAAAGAGAACAAGGACCTGTCTGGCCTCCTGAGAGAGGAGAAGCCCAGCCTCTTTGCTCTTGCGAGTGCCCACTGATGGGGCCTCACCTAAGATTTGATGCTTGCAGTGGCTCTACCCAGGAAAGTTTGGGACTGGCCGGTGTGACTTAATGAGATCAGTGATTCATTTTGGTCCCAAAAGGAATGAAAGCCCAGGCCTTCCCAAGGCCCCTCTGCTTTAGTTGGCCTGGTCTCTTCGTCAAGGAATGAGTCACCATCCTTCACATGGGTGCTCTTATTTTCACTTTGCCTGGGCCTTCAGAAAGCAAACAGTGGCTTCCTCTTTTCTTTGCTCTTGGGGGTAAAAGATGAGTATAAGAGAGGCCTGAAAAGAGCAAGTAAGCTGATCTTCCAAGGTTGCCACTAGAAGGAAAAGGCTTCTCAGTGAGGGACCTTTGAACCATAGCTGCATCTCTGATGTGACCTCTTCCTCTGCCTGGCTGAAGGCAGAGCCTGCAGCCTAAAGTCCAAATTCCTTACCCAAAAGTGGAAAAACAACCCACCCTCTCCAGTCTGCTGGAATTTTAAAAAGTGTCCTTGATAATATGATTTGCCTGGGGCACCAGTCAATGATTCCCTGCTTGGATAAACCATTTGACCTCAATTTCCTTGTCTACATGATGAAGATCCTCATCTGGAGCCGACAGATTGTCCCAGGCCACAAAGAAGACAACATGGGTGCAGCACCACCTGCCTGAGCAGCAGTGGAGAGGGTGTGACCTTCCGTGGTCTGTGCTGTTCTTCCCTAGTTAGGGCTCAAGTTTATTTAGAGGTCAGACCGCTGGCCAAAGACTAGACCCTTAGTTACCTGGAGTCCACTGTAGGCCCAGAGTAACTGAACAGGAATTCTGAGGAGGAACTGAGAGTCACAAAGCCCAGGCACATTTCTTCGAAGCCTCAGCACAGACTAGTGGGATCAAAGAACATAGAAAGTTGAGGCCAAATGTCTTTAGAGGTCATCATCTCAAACAGTGGGATGTGGGCTGAGTCACTGCCCCTTTCTGGGCAGTGGGTTTTGATTTTTCTTTAATCAGTAAATGGGAGATGAAAATTCCTCCCTTACAGAGAGGTAGGGACTTGGGCATGGCTTGGTGATTACGTCCAAATTGGCAGAATGAGGGCATCTCATCATGTGGAACCTTTGTTGCTCATCCTTATGGTGGGGATGATCATAATTCCTCCCCAGAAGGGAGCTGTAATGATTAAATGAGATGCTCCTGCCCCGTGCTCATGGCTGGTGGATCCAAGCATGCAGTAACTGATAGCTGCCATGAAACAAACCACCAAGTTCAGTCTCTGGCATATAGCAGGTGTTCAGTGAATGCTCACTACTGTGAGAATTAACGATGCTATTAACAGAAGAACAAAAATAGAATCACGGAGTCTCCGCCATCAAAGAGCCAGTGGAGATCACAATCTTATTTTAGATCATCCCCTACCTTACCACGGAGAATGTGGAAGACCGAGGCTGCCTCAAACAACAGGCTGAGCCAGGATGGAAGCCCTGCTCCACCGCCCAGGGCTCTTGGCTGACCCCACTTCACCCAGCAGACCGGGGCCATCTAGAGTAAGGACACTCATGGGCCTCAGTGCCCCCACCCCCAGGATTGCTGTGTGGCAGCCCAGGGTAGGAATGAAGGCACTATAGAGAGACTGGAGTCATCTGGAAAGATCCGGAGGAAATTAACAGTAGCAGCAGAGGCCAGATGCCATGGCTTATGCCTGTAATCCCCGTATTTTGGGAGCCCAAGGTGGGAGGATTGCTTGAGCCCAGGACTAAGCTGGGCAACACAGTGAGATCCCGTTTCTACAAAAGACCAAAAAGACGAAAAAATTAGCCATGTGTGGCGGCACACACCTATAGTCCCAGCTACTTGGGAGGTTGAGGTGGGAGGATTGCTTGAGCCCAGAAGTTTAAGGATGGAGTGAGCTAGGATTGCCACTGCACACCAGCCTTGGTGACAAGAGCAAGGCCCTATCTAATACATACATACATACATACATACATAAATACATACAAATTTAAAACCCAGCAGCAGCAGGGAAGAGCTGACTCTGCCCCAGTGAGTCGAGGTGACAGCTCCTCTTTGGAGGCAGTGCAGCTCTCTGGGCCCCACATGCATATATAGGCACGTGCATGACTCAGAGACAATGACGGTGGAGGGCAACAATGGCCATCATTGGGTGAGTGCTGACCGTGCTCCGGGCTGTGCCAAGTGGTTACATCTCATTAATCTTCATGGCAACCCTATGGGGTGAGCACTCCAGAACACAGCAAACTGAAGCACAGAGAGGCTAAGGCACTTTCCCAAGGCCCCACAGCTGGTCCCTGGTAGAGCTGGGATTTAAACCTAGACAGTGTGGCCCAAAGCCTGCAACCCTCCACACCAGCCTGCTACCCTAATGAATCATGCCTTTGTCACCCCTGACTGATTGACATGGTTTCCAGCCCATGACCTCACTGTCTCCCGGTGGGCAGCCCTTCAAGGCTCCAAGTGTCCTGTCCCTGGGCTCAGCACCAAGCAGGGTCTCACTTGTGCAGCAGGTGTTTCCAGGCCCGGCCACACGCCGTGGCTTGAGGCAGGGAAGATCCGCTTGGTCCTGGCGATCATGGGGCAGAAATCAACCTGTCCACAGTCTCTCCTCTCTTGGGCACTGGAGGTGGGCAGGGTGGCCTCAACTGGAGCATCCAGCCAGGTGAGGGGCATGGCTGGGTCAAGAGCCAGGCATCCTGGTCCCTGCCATAACCTTGGCCAGCCCCTCACTGGGCCTTGCTTTTCCCTATCAGAATGAAGAACCTGGGTGTGGGTGGGGTGGCCCTGGCAGGTCCTTTAAGCTGGCCAAGACAGTGGGGCTAGGACCTGCCTGAGGCCCCTGACCCGGCTGGCATCAGCCTTGGGCTCTGGTCTGAGAATCCAGCTGGCAGCCCTTAGCGGGTCCTTCCGTTCCAGGGCAGGCAGCCTGCTCCCAGGCTGGCCCCACCCGAGTCTCAGGCTGTGTCTCAGATCCTTGGTTGGCCCCATCACATGCTGGCTTGCAAGGTGACATCAAATGTCCCTGTGAGTTACTCCTCTGATCTGAGGCCCTGACACCTTCATCCTGACCAAGGAAAGGTCTCCTTCTGTCTATGAACTCGGGAAGTTCAATAGCAGCATAACATATCCAAAGACACTGGGTCTCCTCTTCCAAGTCCCTTTGCAGACAGTTCCCCATTTCCAGTGAATAATGGCAGGTATTATTTATCAAGCATTGCAGGAGTGAGGGGACTTTATATGCACCTCTTACCCTCGAATCCTCACAATCCCCTTTGTGATACTATTATCATGATTGTATTTTACAGATGAGGAGACGGAGGTTCCAAGAGGCAGAAGCAATCGTGCAGTGAAAGAGTGGGGAAGAGACAGAGCTGGGAGATGAGAGTGGGGGCAGGGAGGGGAGTCCTCATTCCAGAGCCCAGGGAACTTCCTTCCCTATGTTACTCCCTTGCCATTCAGAGTACCTACTCTGCACCAGACATCCTGCTAGGTGCTGATGCAGGGATGCACAGTGAATGGGCCAGGCCTGGCCTCTGTGTGTGAGTCTACCAGAAGCCTCTGAAGTGCTGAGAATACTCATCAGAGGCCAAATGAAAGACTTCTTTTTGCCTCCACTCGCCTACTCCCAGCCCTACCACCTGCCAGCTGTATGACCTTGGACAATTACGTTCCCTCTCTACTTTAGTCCCATGACAATAAAATGGCAGAAATATTAATGTCTACCTCATTGGGTGATTGCAAAGAATGAATAGGAAATGCACGTCAATCAGTAATGCCAGTGCCTGGCCTGGAGAAGGTGCTTGGTGCCCTGTCAAGGTCTGTCTTTTTTCCATCTGCAAGCATGCTCTTGCCAGGCTGTTGTCATTGCCAACTCCATTTGACAGCTGAAGAGACTGAGGCTCTGAGCGGCGAAGTGGCTCATCTAAGGCATACGTTAAGAGGTGAAACAGAGCCCTCCACAGTCCCAGATGCATGCTCTCTTTCCCTGGAACCTGTGGGCACCTGTATACCTGTGACCCTTCCCCTTTGGGTTCTGAGTTGCCTCGAAAGGAGTGGGAGGTGAGGGGTTAAGAAGGCTGCTTGGCACTGCAGCAGAAATCTCAGGAAGTACTGGGCTGAGAGAACTTCTAAGAAAGAGAGAGGCAGAAAAGAACACATTCATCCTGGCCTCAGTGGGCAGAGGTCAGTCTGGCTCCCAGCCCAGAGGCTTGCCCTCGAGGGCCCCCCCACCCCGCCGGACTCCAGCCCAGCTTGGCTTAGCCTACAAACGAAGTAGCTGATGCCCCATTGTGGACCTGCTCCTTCCAGATCCTTCTCCAGGCCTTCATCTCCTCACCTTCCTGGGTAGATGCTCAAGGCTGAGGCGTGGGGCAAGATGATCTGGGCTGGGAAGAAAGCCCTCAGCCCCCTCCACCATTCAGGCGCTCTGACAGTACTGTGAGGCCTGCACTTTGGGGTCAGGGGACTTGGCTCTGCCTCTTTTGCAGAGAGGGCCCTGGTCATGTGACCAAATGGCTCTGAGCCCAGGGTTCTTGTCTGTAAACAGGGAAAAAAACAGTATTACTGTCCTGGGATTAGGGGAGGCCTTCATTTCTCTAAGTTCCTGGCTGGGCAGGTGCTGCGCTTCTGGGTTGGGGAAACAGTTGCTGGGACCCTGCTCCAGCAGGTTTAGGACTGGAGTGGGGATTTCCCAGTGCTTTCCCATGCTTCGGTTTCCTGGGTGTCTTCCTTAGGCTGTAGAGCTACCTGGGCTCCTGCTCTGTGTCTAGCCATGAGAGCCCCAGGCAGATTCCCCGGGATGGTATGGAGGGGAGCCGAGACTCAGGATGCCGTGAGGTCCAGAAATTCAGGGGCTTGTGTGGCTTAGGACTAGCACAGAGGGACCCTGACCTCGGCCTTGGTGTCCCTATCAGCAGTCCAACGACCCTGATCTGGCCCTCACAGAGTGTCGCGTGGCTTTTACCCTAGATAAGGCAGCCCTTGGAGCGTTTCCATACCCCTCTGTCTGGAGTTTTCTCTGAAACACCCAGAGGCAGGGCCTAGTGACTGTGTCAGTGTGAGGTCACTAGGATGACTTGTCCCCATGACCTTGACCTAATGGAGCTCTAAGGCCAGCTGGCTCAGGAACCCAGGACCCCACCCCCACCAGCACCATCAGTCCCCAGGGCCTCCCTAGCTTCTCTGTTACCACAACCCACTGTGGGATCCAGGCTGCTGAACTTAGGGACTTCTGAAGGGGTTTTGGAGGGCTCAGCAGCTCAGCCCTGTGGGCTTCAGCTCACAGATTCAGCCCCCACTGAGGCATTTCCTTTCCATGGCTATTTATGGGTGTTTCCTCTTCCTTGAATAGGTAAAGAAAAAGGAAGCAAAAGAAGCTGATCTTTGGGTCCTGGAACAGCTGGCAAATCTTCTCCATTGTATTGATTTACAAAAGCATACAAGCTTGGAGTAAAGAATGGCAAAGCCAGAAAGCAAATGCATGGAAAAGCACAAGTCTAGTAACAGGAGGGAAGCCACGCTGGAAGCTTCAACCCTCTAGTGAACATATGCAGAGCACCCACTATTTGATCACCATGCAGATTCCTTGACTTGCTGTTTTCTTTCCATAACATATGCTGGGCATGAAAGACCCTTTAAGTTAGTAGTTTGTGACCCTGAGACTGTACGCTGGGACCCTTGTGAAGATGTTTAAGGTCTCCATGCCCAGGCCTCCCCCAGGTAAGTGACATCAGAAGTTCTGGAGGTGGGCCCAGGCAGCAGGAATCATGAAAGGTCCTAAGTGAGGAGCCTGGGCTGGAGTACTGCTCTGGGCTTCTGTCCACTGGGGTCAAAGCTGGCCCTCCACATGGTGCGTGGGGTGAAAACTCATATGTCCCTGCATCTGCATCTCACAGTGCGGCTTTCTGCCTGGGAAAATGGTGGGGGGAAGTCAAGGAAATATCCCTTTTTTTAGTCATAATGTCATATTCTCTCTCTTTTTCCTTGGGAAGATTGTGACGGCCTGTCTTAGGAAGAGCTTACCCAGGTTATTCCCGAGTAGGTTAGCCCTGGTGTCACCTCTTCTGTTCATTTCTACAGGAAGAATTTCATCAACACTTAGCTCATTCTGGAATTTGTTATTTTGACAATTTGGCAGTTTGGTTAACTAATGTATTATGTGTGTTTACGTGTATGTCTCTGTGTGTCTGTCTCTGTGTGTCTGTGTCTTTCTGTGTGTCTGTGTAACTGTGTGTCTCTTTGTATGTATCTCTGTATGTCTCTGCGTCTCTAAATGTCTCTCTGTGTGTCTCTGTGTCTCTAGACATCTCTCTGTGTATCCATGTCTCTGTGTCTGCATCTGTGTGTATGTCTGTGTATGTCTGTGGGTGTCTGTGTGTGTCTCTGTGTCTATGTCTGTGTCTCTGTATGTGTGTGTATGTATCTGTGTGTGTCTGTTTCTTTGTGTGTGTGCCACCTACATGACTCATGTAGGAGATGTCACTGCTACTTCCCCACCCCCTAGGTAAGAAACAGATTTAGAGGCCAAGGGTGCACTGTCACCATGTACTCTCTGCCCTTTACTGCCCGGCACCCCTGCCCTCCAGGAGCTGACCACCTGCCTCTGGACTTCCCACTCGCTTCGCCTGGCTCCCCACAGTCCTCTAGATAAATGTCTCTATGCATCTGTATGTCTCTATGGCTGTGACCTTGAGCAGGCGCTTTACCTCTCTGGGCCTACAGGTATTGGCGGATAGAATAGGCCTCATACCGTAAGTGATGGGCTTGGTGCTTGCTGTGTGTCACTGTACTGGACTTCCCTGTCAATGCATCTTCTCCTCACACTCCCAAAGGAAGTGCGTCCTACTGCCCCAGTACCGTCCACCTCCATCCTGTCCTTGCTCTGCCCACTGCATCCAGGGCTCCTGCTTCACTCAGGGGAGAAGCCCCCCATCTTTCTGATGGCCTGAGAGGCCCTGCAGGTTCTGGTCCCCTACTTCTCTTCCTCTCTCCCCACCTCCCCTCTCTCAGGCTGTCCCCCTACACTGGCCTCCTCTCTCTCCCTCCCTCTCTTCAGTCATTCTTCCTGTCTCTCTGCTTCTTTCATATAACATGTTTTTATCATCCAGATACATCAGCTTCTCCAACCAAAGTTTTCATTTACCTATATTTATTCTCTTTCTATTCTCTGCCAACCTTTTTTAGGGAAAGAGTAGGTTGTCTGCTCACTTTGTTCACGTTAAGTGGGCTTTTTATCCTTTTGCCCTGTGTCCTCTTATATCTAGGATAAAAAGCACATTAGGTTAAATATATTGTACTTTTGCCATGCTAATTTTTCTTTTTTATTATTCTCACATGAATATAAATCTCAATCAAAGACTTCCTTGATGAAATAAAATTCAGAAGTGGTATTCTCTTTCTGCTTGGCTTTGGCTTTCCAAATCACACTTATCAACTTTGTAAGCCTTTTATTAAGTCCCATTTGTCCTCAGAAGTTTATACTAAGGTGGAGAGCTGACTATATAAATGAGTATAAACCAATACCCATCCTATGTGGTGGGGAGGGGGGGTGTCTACAATGCTACCCTACACAGCAAGGGCTCCATGGCAAAAGGAGCCTATCACAGCCAGAGGCCTTCTGGGTCAGGTGTTCAACACTGAATTCTTGAACTTGAACCTTGAACTCTGGACCCTGTGGTTCCCTGGCCAGAGCTTGTGCTGAGAACAACGTAAACAACATGCTGAGATTGTCTAAAGTCACAGGGGAAATGGTGGAAGATTCACCCTTGCTATTGCCAGGAGGCATTTATAGATTTTCTTTTCTTTCTTTTTTTTTTTGAGAGGGTCTTGCTCTGTCGCCCAGCCTGGAGTGCAGTGGCACAATCTTGCTCACTGTATCCTTGACCTCCTGGGCTTAAGCAGTCCTCCCACATCAGCCTCCTGAGTAGCTGGGACTAGAGGCATGTGTTACCACACTCAGTTAATTTTTGTATTTTTTGTAGAGACGGGATTTTGCCATGTTGCCCAGGCTGGCCTCGAAATCCTGGACTTAAGCGATCAACCCACCTCAGCCTCCTAAAGTACTGTGATTACAGCCATGGCCACAGCACCCAGCCTTTTATTTTTTCTCTTACATTTCCAGTTTAACGTCATACTGTATGTTGTGTGAGACTTTATTCTTGAATCATGGTTAAACTCTTTAGGCTTAACTTATGAGCCTCAAAATTATCGGGCAGTTACATTACTTGTCTACCTCCTTATTCCTTATTTTAGTAATCAGTTATTGTGTTAGGCAATTCTTGCATTGTTATAAAGAAATATCTGAGACTGGGAACTTTATAAGAAAAGAGGTTTAATTGGCTAATGGTTATGCAGGCTCTACAGGAGGTATGACACCAGCATCTGTTTCTGGGGAGGTCTCAGGAAGCTTCTCATCATGGCAGAAGGTGAGGGGAGCAGGTACCTCACATGGTGAAAGTAGGAGCAAGAGACACAGGGTGCAGGGTGCCACATACTTTATTTTAATCATTCTTTAGAGATGGAATCTCATTCTGTCTACCAGGCTGGAGTGTCGTGGCATAGTCTCGACTCGCTGCAGGCTTCACCTCCAGGTTCAAGCGATTCTCCTGCCTTAGGCTCTCAAGTAGCTGGGATTACAGGCGCTCGCCACCACGGCTGGCTAATTTTTATATTTTTAGTAGAGACAGGATTTTGCCATGTTGCCAGGCTGGTCTCGAAC